AAAAAAAAAAAAAAAATACAATATCGATGAAAAAATTAAAAATTAGGTTAAACAAAAGTTTTGAATTGTTTTCAGTTGAGTTCGAAATTCTTTTTCCACTTTTAAACTTTAACACTCTAGGAAATCCAACTACTTTTAAACTCATCTGTAAAATGAGGATAATAATATATACCTTGGAGTGCTTTTGTAAGGGTCAGTGAACATATTAAAGCTGCTTTAGTATGATATTAAAATTATTATACCTTCTATAAACAAATGAGCAACAATCTAGCCCTTCCTGAATGATAGTTACTCTGCATTTTATTTTACAAGTTGTCCCCACCATTTATATTCATAGCACACTAAGTGAAAGAGTTACTTATTCCTATCTTATAGATTAGGATATTTGTCTAAAGCTCTAAGCTGGAGGAGGGAAAATTCTAAATGAATCCAGCATCCAAACTCTTAGATACTATGCATGTTCAAGACATTTTAGTTTTTCTTCATCTCCTACCTTTATCTTCCCACTTTATTAAAAAGCTCTCCTTTGTATATAACAGACGTGCTAAAATCTGTGTGCAGAAATCTACTATCTCAGTGTTAAACCTTCCCCTTGAGCAACTCACAAGTGGATTGTGCCTGTGGAAGTTTTTCGGTATATATGTACTGACTGTGATCCTGAGTGTAGAGGATTTAAAGGTAAGTGAGTCTTAACTCCATATGCACTTCAAACTTCACTGTGTATTCTAGTTGCAAACCTACGATGGAACAGTTATAAGTTAGGCTGTCACATAAGAGGTGTGGAAGGCTTAGGACTAATCACGTCTAGTGCAAGAATGCAAAGTGACTTTCTAAGAGAGGTGGCATTTGAGTGGATCCTGCACAAAGGATAGATAGGCAAATGGGGGGAGGGGTGAAGCAGAGAAGAGTGATCAGTGAGAAAAGCCCAGCCATCTCCTCTGGCCATCTCAGCTTGACTGGCATTTAGCAAACAGTTTTGTCAGTGCAGCCAATAGGGGAGGGCCAAGCATTGGTGGGCTTTGGGTGTCTGCACATGTTTTAATAGGCAAGAGCTTCCAGTAGCATTTTGGCCAGGAAAGCCAATGAGCTATTTCAGGAAGATAACTTTGCCAACTTTAGAAAGAAGTGGAGGATGCAAAACTCAACACCAGAATACCATTCAGTAAGGGATTTTGTCACTGTTAAGAAGGATAACCGGGAACCAAAGGTGGTTAAGGGCAGGTGAGTGAGAGATGAGTGTGTGGTGAGTTTCACGGAGTGGCCAAGCATTTATGTGGTGAGTATGCACACAAGCAAGTGAGAGTCTTTATTGAATAAGCTCCAATGTCTAAATAGTACTGTATTTCAGAAGATCAGAGTTAGGGAATATAGTGTCAAATCATGCAGTTACAATTTCAAAGAGTTGCCCTTCCTGACTGCAGGGGGAACACTTGTATATGCAAATGCAACATAGTTCAGTTCAAGTAAACTCAACAACTGTATCTCAAAGGCCTTTTGAAAACTTTCACCTTGAACCACATAAATGACTAGAGAAAACATGATAGTTTCATGCCCATAGATTTATTCTTATTTGCCAAACAAATTACTTTGTTATAATTCCCAATTTCCTGGGGGCCTATCTCACCCCACATGAAAGTAGCATTTACAATGGTTATTATCACATAATTGTAGAGTAGCAGAATCCAGGGTTGACAGATTTCTTTGTAACCACAGTACTAATTTATTAAACTTGGGTGCTTAATTTAAATGTTGTACCCAGAAGGAAACTTGGGATAATTATTCTTGTTCTTTCTGTACATTATGGGAGTTTTATGATGACAGTTAAACATGTCTGATTAAGCATGTTAAAGAAGTACTATTCTTCTGCCAGCTGCTGCATTATTAAAGTATCTGTTTCTTTATGTTGTTGATTCTGTTAGAAGGAGGTTGAGTTGAGGTTCTGAATCAGTTCTGTAATGGATGTGCACTCAGCTAGAGCACAAACCATGAAAATATTAAAAACCCAGCAGTAACTTTTATGGAACAATTGATGCACTGCACAATTTAATCCTCTTTAAAATAAAAAAATCTTTATAGTGAAATATGTGTCCCTTTCTTTGGTACTGGAGTTCTAACACATTAGGTGAAGTCACCTATGACACAGATACCCAAAGACCTGCAATTTCTTTTTTCTAAATGAAGCCAAATAATCTGATAAAGATGAGAAAAGTGGTAGCAAAGAACTTTATGTGATCTGATACATTTCTTAGGAAGTTAAGTACACACAGAAACACAAGCAGATCAGTAAACTCTAGTCCAAGTTTCAAATCCAAACCCAAAGAGAGAATTAGCAGAATGGACTGACATGCAAAGTGCTGCCTACCTCTCACCATTTGGGAAATGTGGGTGTTTGTGCCACACATATTTACAAGATACACACAAAAAAACACATATGTGCTTGATTCCTTTGACTTTCATTTAAAAAGGCTCAGCTGGGAAAGTTCAGGCTTTGAGAAGTACTCTTAGAAATGGAGAGTGTTTTGCACATCCTAAGACTGATTGTCTGATAATAAGACCAGTTTTGTTTACTATTGAAATTTTGCCAGAGAGGGCTTTCAGTAAATGGTTTGTGTAGAACACCAGACAGAACTGAAGTACAGAGTCACAGAAGGCTATGGTACACATAACCCACGGTAGGGGTGGGATCATCACACCGTGTCTTTTCTGATCTCATTACTATCAGTAGCTTCTCCTAAGTCTTCCCTCATTAATTCCTGCCTGGTGTCTTCAGTATTTTTTCTAGAGAGCAAACTCTCTGCATGTGGGTTCTGCAGTGCAGACTGTTGGGCAAGCTGAATAGATGTGTTTATGACCACATTGTTTGCAGCTCTTAGAGCATATGCTTCCTTGAGATTTGCTCTGTTTCGGCAGATCTGGAGCTGAAAAGCATCTTGGAAGCCACGGTGAAAGTTCTCATTGAAGAAACCGTAAATGATGGGGTTGACACTGCTGTTACAGAAGGCCATCCAGTGTGCAAAAGGGTAGATGTAGATGTTAATGACTCGCAGCTCATTGGAAGAAAGGTCAGCATAGTCTGAGAGCATCATCAGAGTCCATAGCGGCAGCCAGGAGAACATGAAAAGTAGAGCCACCATCAGGAGCATCTTAATGACCTTCTGTTTCTTCTTAGACACCGTGTGCCACTGCTCCTGGTTCCGCTTGCTGGTGTGGGGAACTGCGGTCCTGAAGAGTGAAATCCCAATCCTACCATACATGACCACAATGAGGGCCAGAGGAGCCATGTAAACGGTGGTGAACAGCACGGTGGTGTAGATCTTCCTCATTTCCTGATTGGGCCAGTCTTCCCGGCACCAGTAGACTGGGCTGCTTTTATTCTGGGAGTGGAGCCTCACACGGTAGTATTTTTCTTCTTGTGTGTGTAACATTGCGGCAGATGGCAACATGATGGTGACGGCCAGGACCCAGATGATCACAATGATGACAGATGCCGTCTGAATGGTGAGCTTGGGTTTAAAAGGGTAGACCACACAGCGGAATCTGTAAGCAAAAACAAACACTAATGAGGCACTGCCTTGCAACTGAGGACTGAGGTGTGAATCAAATTTAAGGAAGCATTTAAGGACCGGCTACCCAACTTCCCCTTAAAGCATGGAAAGTTACTGTTGGTGGTAGAGACGCATGCATTTTCACTGGTGATATATGAGATACATTTTAACTGAAAAATCTGAAAAAGTGGAGTGTATAACTGGTATATACTGAATATGACCAATTCACGCTGTACTCCAGGCTTTGTTCCATTGGTTTGCATGGGCCGTCACTTTTAGCACCTCTATTTAAATGATGAAATAAGTATAGAAAAGGTAGAGATCTTGCCCATTGTTACACAGGACTTTATTAGTGTGTGTTTGTGATACAGAATAGCGATGTGTCTTTTGGAGAATTCATACATTCTTGTAACATCTTATTTTCTATCCCTTTGCCCCCTCTGCCTCTCCCCATTCCCTTACCCATCCGCAAGAATCTGCCTTCTAGTTTCCCATAATCTCAGCAAGTTAAATGTCCCCTTTTCTCTTGTGAGAAACCTAAAGCATGAGGCGGGATTTTAGCACACGTAGTTTTGCCTTAGAGAGCATGACCTTAACTTCTGCGCAGTGTGCTCAGTAGACAGCTCCCGTGGGCTGCCGTGGTCTGTTGATCAATGAACCATTTCTTCTTCATATTCTTGTCTGTCCCCCAACATGCTATCTGTGCGCTTGACCATGAAGTTTGCTTTGGCCAACAGAATATTAGCAAGCATGTTACACAGTAGGGCTTGTCTTTTTGGAATCGTTCCTCTTAAAAACCAGGTTCCAGGTTCCAAAAAACCTTAAATTAGACTCAGGGGAAGACAGGTGGTAAATCTAGAATGATCTAGTCTCAATTTTATTCCCAGGGTAATACTGCAATGTGAGTGACTCCAGCTTCAACAAATGGAGCAGAAGAACCACCCAGAGGTGGCCAGCCAACCCACAGACTCACAAGAGGTGATAAAGCATCACTTGTGTTAAGCCATTGCGTGTGTGGTGACTTGTTTCACTCTTGTAATAGTTTGAGAGTTTCTGCTGTGATCTCTGATTATGAACTTTTCTGACACTCTAAATCCTCAGGTGAAGAAGAAAATTCAACTGACATCAGTAGGCAGACCACACTTGATTCATTTGACTACTATTTTGTTATTGTTATTATTGACACATTATACTAATTATACTCATGCTACTATATAATCCTACTATTATGTAATTGTACATTTATTTAAAGTACTTATTAAATCTTTGATTTTCAGGATGATTCTGTACAATTAAATTTTATAAAAATGACTAGTTTTCTGACATGCAGATAAGGAAATTTAGAGCTTTAAGTGGTTGAGAAGCAACTCCAAATGTGACAGACCTTCAGAAAATGACTAGTTAGATTGGGCTTGACTGCTCTTTTGTCATTATTGTAACTCATTCTTTTGTAAGATTTTTCTTCTCTCCTGTGGTGGATTGACAACTGGTGGTCAACTTATAACACCCAGTGGAACTGAACCAGTGTCATGCTGGGTGTGGGAGGCCCACCTGAGGGTTGTTGCCAGCAACATAAGAGACAGGACTGGAGAAGAAAAAGAGAGGCTGTAGGGAGCTGAGAAGCTGCTGGGTGCTGTTATAAGCTGTAAGAAGTTATTGGTTCTCTTGGAGGAGCTTGCATGCTAGCTTTCCTGATAAACTCAGCTATTCTCATTGTCCGAGGAGCTCAGGATGTTGTCACTGAGAATGGCTTTGGTTCACTTTGGAGGAGCTCCAGTCCTCACTTTGAGCATCGCTTCCTGGCTCTGGAGAGAAAGACAGTGCACTGCTCAGTCTCCTGGAGAAGCTTCTTGTATTGGCTTTCCTCATGGAACTTGGCTTTCCTCATCATTGGAAGAGCTTGGAACCTCACTGTCACTGTGCATGGTTGTGGTACCTCTCAGGGAAGCTCTGGTTCTTACTTTGAGTGTTGCTTCCTGGCTCCAGGGAAAATCCCTCAGTCTGCTAGCACAGACCCTTCATCTCACTGGCATAGACTTTCTAGCTTCCACCACTGACCTTTGGGCCCTCCCAGTGCAGATCCATGAAACAGGCCTGCATGAGACATCGTCATAGGCTCTAGACCTCCAGCTGGACTCATGGGAGGCACTGTCATGGGATCTAGGTCTTCAACTGGACTCATGCAAGACATCATCATGGGATCCAGGCCCTCAGCTGGATTCTTTGGTCTTTAGTGTGGACAGATTCACTGCACACTTTTGTATATCATTCTTTGTGTGAGTATTATAACTAATCTTATAAAATGTGTCCTATATTATATTGTTCCCCTTACAAAAACCTCAAACTATGACATCTTCTAAACTCCAAATTTCCTGTTAATCTTTTAAGCAATGAATTCTTCCATTCGCTCACCTTTAAATTACGGGTAGTTCCATAGGGACGATTCTAGGTATTTTGCTCTTCTGTATACACAAATTAATAGCATTTCACATACACAAAAATGAACAACATGAAAAGAAAGGAGAATGGTCCTTGCTGAGAAAAAACTATTTCAATATCATATAACAATTACTAAAATTGTGTTAAAAGAGTTTGAGCATCATCTAGAGAAAAACAAAGATCCATGGATGAATTTTATATGTCACTGATAATGTTGAGTTGTATTTTTAAATTTTTAAAAATTTTATGGAAAAGCTAAAGCAGAGTTTCATAACAACATAATAGGATAATAACAATAATGTATTGCATATTGTCATCTTCAAAGTAGTTACTCATGTTCTTACACCAGGGAGACAATGTGATGTTTACACATGTAGGTCCAATTTATTTCACTTGTGAGTATGGTCTCTAGTTGCATCCATTTACCTAAAAAAGCCTCGAGTTTATCTCTTTTTATAGCTGAGTAATACTGCATTGTATAGATATACCACATCTTATTTATCCATTCCTAAGTTGATGGGCATTTGGGTTGTTTCCAAGATTTAGTTATGACAAATTGTGCTGCTATAAACATGGGTGCACATATAACACTGTGGTATGATGTTTTTAATTCTTCTGGAAAAATACCCAGAAGGGGAATAGCTGGATTAAGTGGGACATCTAATCCTACTTTGTGAGGAATCTCCAAACTGATTTCCACAGTGGTTTCACCAATCTACACTCCCACCAGCAACGGAGAAGTGTTCCTTTTTCCCCACAGCCTCTCCAGCATTTGTCATTGGTTGATTTCTTAATGATAACCATTCCCCATCAATCTTCTATTCTTACATCTGGTAATCTGAACAACTTCATTGAAGATAACAATATGTAATATAACAACCACTGTTAATTCCTATCATTTGGTTTGAAACCCCATATCATTTTTAATGTCCTCACTTTGTTTTGTTTGTATTTTGCTATTTTTTGTACTATTTTCTTTAAAATAAAAATTAAAAAAGAATTAAGACATATTATAAAAAAGTAGTTACAGTAAAAGATATGGGTATGAAAAAATTCTCCAGTCAAACACAAACCTTTCTTTTCAGTGAACTAAGAGACACTAATAGTATAGCTAACATTCATTTTTCTCCCTTGTCCTTTCCTTCCTTCCCCATTGCCCCTGGCCTAGTTCCCTTTTCCTTTTAAACAATTGCTTCCCATTTCAAAACATCTATTGTACATATTGGACCTTATTTACTCTTTCAGTTTCTAACACCAGGTAGACAATATGATGTTTACACAGGTAAATCTGATTTATTTCACTTATGAATATAGTCTCAAGCTGCATCCATTTGTTTATGAAAGTCTCAAGTTTATCCTTCTTTATGGCTGAGTAGTACTCCATCACATAAAAATACCACATCTTTTTATCCATTCCTCAGTTGATTGGCATTTGGGTTGTTTCCAAGATTGGCATTTGGGTGTAGCTCTTAAATATTATGCTGCTATGTACATGGGTACACATATATCACTGTGCTATAATGTTTTTAATTCTTCTGGGAAGATACCCAGAAGGAGAATAGCTGGGTCAAGTGGGACCTCTAATCCTAACTTTTTGAGGAATCTCCATACTGATTTCCACAGTGGTTGCAGCAGTGTACACTCCTACCAAAAGTAGAGCAGTGTTCCCTTTTCTCCACAGCCTCACCAGCATTTGTTATTCATTGATTTCTGGATGAAACAGAACAGTATTGTTTTAATTTGCATTTCTCAAATGACCAATGATGTCAAACATGTCTTCATATATTTATTTGCCATTTGTAGTTCTTCACTGAGAATTGTATATTCATCTTGGATGTGCATTTTTAAATTGAATCTTTGAATATGAGAGGGCTGAGTTTTTTCAATTCTTTATATATTCTAGATAGAAGTCCTTATCTGAGGGACAATAGGCTAAAATTTTTCCCAGTTTATCAGCTGTTAACTCACTCTGTTGGTGATTTCTTTTGAGGTGCACAAAGTTTTTAATAAGATGAGATCCAAGTTTTTGATTCTTTGAACAATTTCCTGTGGGGCTTGGTTTTGTTTCTGAACTCTATACACACACCTCTGTTTTCAAAATTTCTCCCTACTTTCTCTTCCAGTAGATTTAGTATTTCTGTTTTACTATTTAGATCTTTGATCCATTTTAACTTAAATTTAGTGCATGGTGGTAGTTATGGGTCTAGTTTCAGTCTTCAACATGTAGAGAGCCAGTTTTTCCAGCAACATTTATTTAAGAGGCTATCTTTCTTCCAGTGAACATGTCTGGCACCTTTGTCAAAGATAAGGTGGCTGAACATGTTTGGAGTTGTCTCTGCATTTATAATCTGTTC